GTATAGGAGAGGTTTGTCTTGCTGTTTGATCAAAATATTATGAAGTTCCTTAAGAAATATTTGGGGTTAGGGTTTTTTCGATTTTTTGTTGTCTTGCTAAATTGTTGCTTTTCGATTTATTTTTTGAAAAACTGGTAAAGTTTGGCATGCATGTTTGGACTGGCATGCTTCTGGTATGGGGTTATTTTTGGCCAAAAATTTGAAGAGGTGCTGTTCAGTTAAATCTATTTTCATACTTGTTTTTTGTTCAGTTTGTGATGGTATTTATGTTCAGTCCTTGTTAGTTTTTAATCAATCGCAGTACGTGTGTAAACGAGCCAAGTCGAGCTTGATGTTCTGGTTTTTCTATTCAGTTTCTGCTGGTTTTTATGTTCAGTTACTGCTATTATGTTGTTCAATCCTTGCTGGTTTTTTAATCAATCACAGTATGTGTCACGACCCAACCCGACCGGGATGGATCCCGCTCGCATCGGGTCACGACACAACCATTGAAAATCCAGGATATAGCTTTGGAATTTGCTTCAGAACTTTCTTCCAAATATTAAATAGACAGAAAAATATAGAGCTACTATAAACATCCAAATACAGAACAGTTCATCTATCTTTTCTTTCATCAAAATAATCATATACAATACAATCCATGGCTTCAGACATAAATAATAGAACAGAACAGAAAAGCTATGACTGTACAAAAATCAAAAGTACAAAAATATCTAATCTCAGATCAAACACAGAACTTCTAGTCCAAGACTTCCTTCCCTTTCCCAGAACCTGAAAACCACGCAGAAAACAACGATGAGCTAACAGCTCAGCAAGACATCAATCACCAATCAACATAGTCAGAAACTCACATCAGAAAACGTATCAGAAGAGTATCCGTACAGAATTCGAACAATCGTACATAAATCGTATAACATACATAACAGATAACAACTCAATCAGAAATCAAACATCGGATACGGAAAGCTGAAGTCATATCAAAATCCAAGTTCAAATCATAGATCATAAAGCTTCAAATCACAGATCAGATAGGATCATACAGAATAACCAACAACGTACATAAGTCATAGCAGAAATAATCACATTACAGCTTCTCAGAATAGATAATTTCAGAACAGAACTTCCTTCCAGATGTCAGAACTTCCCCTTATATCTCCCTTGTGCTTATAGCACTAGAACTTCCCCTTATGACTCTCTTTTGTGTTTATAGCACCAGAACAGAATAGATATACATAATTTCAGATTTCAGAACTTCCCTAATTCCTAATCCCTAATTCCTTCATTCTTAGTGCATGAATAACTTGACACCATTCACGAATATTCACAAAATATATATACGCATAACTAACAATAAAAAATTTTCTTAAAATTTCACTTTATGATGTTTCCTAATAATGGAAACAATGACATTTTTAGGTAATATATCTCTTGAAGTTTTGTTATGATTTTATTTTCTTAAAAATGTCATTTACCTGATTAAGGAAATTGTTAATTTTATTTAGAAATAAAATTTTAATCTTATATAAATAAAAAAAGTAATAACACATTCGATGCATAACATCCTACAACTAATTTTAAAATGAGTTTAGAGAAATTCGGGCAAATTTTATTTTAGGGTTTTTTTTTTTTTTGCTTCAGTAAGTGCATCCAATTTAATAAATGTTATAATTAAGAATATTTTATTTTTGCTCACAATCCCGAAGGGAGGTCTACATTGTCGTTGAGGGGTGGTTGCGCCTTTCAATTTATCTGAATTATAATTTCACATCGATAATTTTTCAAAAAACTTTGACAAATATTTTCGTACTATACAAGCTTCAATGTCTAAAAATAAGTAAGGCAACTATTATGTCATCAAAAATTCTCCTTGATCGGACATGAATCTCGATGCAAATATGAGTCGGAAGCTTAAGAAATTAAATTTAGATAATCTGAACTCTGATTTCAGCAAACTTATAGTCAAATTGAACATTTTAAGAAGACGAACCCAACGACACCAAATTCAATTCAATTTGAGCCCAAATGGGCCCAAATCAAGGACCAAAACTACTTAAAATATGTAGAGCATTAATTGGAAGATCAAATAATATCTAAATATAACATGTTTATAGTTGAATCGAGCGGCTTGACGGGACGAATCCATCGAGCTCAGCATCACTCAATTCTAACATCTCTAAGGCACTTAAATGCTTAATAAATGTTCAATGATCAAGAGAGCTAGTAATAGCCATCTAATGGAACACTCCCAACATATTCTTGATCTTCTTCATATTTACTAGCCATGCAACTCCCTAAAAACTAAAAATAGACCCTCATTCTTCACCTGATAGGAGGGAGGAAGAAGAGAAAAGGCTCTTGGGCTTAGAGAATTCTAAAGCACCACCTCGACACCACCACTAGCAAATCCAGGCCACCAGGTCGCCGTTGTTGAATCTCCCCCCAACCATTAGGTAGCCATTGACTTACAACCATCGTTGCCCTCCAATTAAAGTCCTTCTGATCACTAACGACCGACTATGGTCCATCCGATCATCATCGCCTGATTATAGTTCTTTTGACCACCGTCACCCGATTACAGACCTTCCAACCTCTATCATCTGCTGACTACAATCCTTCCAACTACCGCCGCTTAATTATGGTCAATCCAACCTATATTGCCTCCGACTATGATCCCTATGACCATCGTCGCCCGATTATAATCCTTCCAACCTTCATTACCTACCCACTACGGTCCTTCTAACCATCGTCATCTGATTAAGGACCTGCCAACCAAATGAATAGAACAACATGCTCTTGAGAACAACCTTTTGTTATTCCTCAATTATATAATGTGTTCTATGATGTAAATTTGCTACATTGAGCAAATGCCTTCCCCTGAGAAAGGATATCATTTGTAATCAACTACAAACACTAGTGGATTCATTCAAACTAGGCAAGGACTTGCAAATTTTCCCCCTTTTCTGAGGTTTTCAAGTAAAAATTGTGATGTCTATTATGAAAGTTGCACCCCTCTATATTATTTATATATGTGCTGGATTTTCGTACAAAGCTAAGATATTAAATTCTATACATCTTTATTGCTGTGAATTTTCAGGACACAACAATTATATTTTATAATATTTTTTTTCAATAAAACAAATATCTTTTTAAAAATTTTTAAATCCTTTGTAATATAATTTATCTTCCAATTATTTGAAATCATTTACTTCCTTTAGTATACTTTGTTGTTCATAAATGTTTTCATTTTTGACCTCACCTAAAGATGTAAAGATTTGATATTATTGTTGTTATTGTATACTTGTTTTCATTATTTATATTTTCTAATGAATTTGACAAATTATTCCTAAGCTTGATATTATAATTGCATTACAAAATGATTTGTGAGCTCCCACGTCAATCTCATACTATATAACTTTGTGGGCCTTTAGTTACAATGTATTTTAAAGCAAAGAAATATCTAATCCAGTAATACATGCATGGAGAGACATGTCACTCTGATCGAGTGAAAGAGCAATTGAATGGCCAAGTTGAAATAAAATAAATATAATATGAATTTTGAGACATTTGGATCAGCGAAACTCACTCTTTTCTTTTCATTTAAAAATCATCCAACTTGAAATTCTAAAGCTTGGTGCCCCCTCACCCACTCGCCATGTTTCCACTTGCTCCTATGAAAAATTATGTGTGGCGTCCTGACACGTCTAAAAGTTAATTCGCATGCACCACATCATTTAATACACATTACATTGAATGATGTGACGCATTCGAATTGACCTCCGAACACATTCGAACACCGCACATAATAATCTCTACACTCGCACAAGGTCGCTTGCACCCCTCTCACCCTTTACCTCCTGCTTCCTCAGCACACCACCTCCCTCCCTAGTTTCTTACATATAAGAGAAGAAAAAAGAGAAAGAAAAGGGCGAAAGGGAGAAAATAATAGTAATAACTTTTGTACTTTTAAAATATATCTACATTGAAAATATCCAAGAAAACAATCAGATATTAATTTTCAGGACACAACAATTATATTTTATAATATTTTTTTTTCAATAAAACAAATAGCTCTTTTAAAAATTTTAAATCCTTCGTAATATAATTTATCTTCCAATTATTTGAAATCATTTTCTTCCTTTAGTATATTTTGTTGTTCATAATAGTTTTCATTTTTGACCTCACGTAAAGATGTAAATATTTGATATTATTGTTATTGTTGTACAATTGTTTTCATTATTTATATTTTCTTTGACAAATTATTCCTGAGCTTGCTATTAGAATTGCATTACTAAATGATTTGTGAGCTCCCACGTCAATCCCATATTGTACAACTTTTAGTGGGCCTTTATAATGCATTTTAAAGCAAAGAAATGTCTAATCCAGTAATACATGCATGGAGAGACATGTCACTCTGATCGAGTGAAAGAGCAATTGCATGGCCATTAGAAAGTTGAAATAAAATAAATATAATATGAATTTTGAGACATTTGGATCAGCGAAACTCACTCTTTTCTTTTCACGCCCGCGCTGCTGCCCCCGCTCGCGTCCGCCCCGCTCGCCTCTGCCTCCGCCGTCCTCCCCATCCGTCCACTTGCCGCAATTCCGGCGCCGGCAGAACCCAAACCGGGTCGGGTCAGGTCAACCCGGCAACCGACCGGATCGGGTCCGGGTTTGGATTTCCGACCCGTTTGTCCACCCGGGTCGGGTTAGGGTCGACCTGTTTGAACCCGGGTCAGTTCCGAGTTCGACCCGTGACCCGAAATTGACACCCCTACAGTAAGGGCATATTAGAAGAGAAAAGAAGACTGAAAAAGATAATATTAATACAAAAAGACAATTAACAAATTTTACATATATATGAAGAAGAGAAACCGAGCATGTATGCATTCATTCCGTATAGGAAGGAAACATAAAATGTGTCATAATTTTTTATCATTTGGCATCAGTCAAAACCCAAATGGAAAGATCTGAAGGTTCACCAAGACAATATGTACCAGATATTCAACTTGTGAAGGATCGATATCAAAATTAATACTGCTTGCTTTTATTTTTCTTCATTAGATATAAGAACCAGAACATTCCATGTTCTGAACAATAGCTGCATTCTCTTCCAAAATAAATTTACATGGTGTTCTTCCATCATCTTTTTTCTAGGGAATTAAATATGAAAACCCACCTCAGCTTGAATCTAATCAAGGAACGAAGGTCAAGGTCAATGAATACATTAACATTACACAAGTTGCAGAACCTAAACTGCAACATTTGTAATAGAGGGAACTCTTCTTCGATATTGACGACCATTGAGAACTTTAATGGCATCACAGCTCCGCTAACTGAGGTGTCCAAGAGAATCCATCATGGATGTTAGAGATTAAATCTTGATTGATATGAACAACTGTGCATAGCTTAGGCAGAGCAAAAGATGAATCTACAGCACCGTCAAATTCTTTCTTCATCCCAGTCTGGTCATCCTCAGCACACTTATCAATCGATAACTTGAACAATTGACTCTTCATTTCCATGCAGGATATGAGATCGTCCTTATTGCGAGCCTTGTTCAACTTATCAATTAGATTATCTGTCTCAATGGTTTTCTCTACTCGATTCTCATCCAACTTCTTTGGCCTCTTTAGGTCCATATAAGCATGTAATTCATCATCATTTACTGAAACTGAAATGTTGTCGCTGATATGCTCACTTTCCTGCAACTTCCTCAACTTTTCATTCACAAGGTTCCTTATTCTCTTCCTATTGGTATCTACTCTTCTTGGATTAGATTTTAGATTTACTTTCATTGATGTGACTAACTTCTGAATCTTTTCCTCGGGCAAATCTTCTAGTGTGTATAGCTCATCACTAGTTAAGAATGCCTCCTCCAATAAGCTGACATTGTACAGGTATCTCTCAAAAGCTTCGTTCTCTACTTCAATGTTTCCTTCGATGTGCTCCCTCAATTTCGAAAACCTCCACTTGTTTATGTTAATGGCGTCCTTAAGAGCAAAATGAGTCGACCATTTCATTGCACTGAGCAATAATACAAAAGCAAGATGAAAATTGCATATAGAAACAAAGTACATGTGAAGTTTCTGCACCTTTCTTGTGAGAGCCTTCCTTGCTCTTAGGGAGTTGGCAACAGCAGTTGAAAGCTGTCGAAGAGATGTCAACCTCCAAGAAGCTCTGCAATTGATTGAAAATTAGCTGGCCAAGTAATTTTCAGACGGATAAAATTTTAATTTCAAAGACTTACCCACTTGAAGGAGCATCAGTAGGATGCGGCTCAAATGAAGGAATTGCAGAAGATGGATCAGGTAAAGTGCCATTCTGTTTAAGAACTACAAATTGGCCAAAGATGGCAAAGATAATAAACTAATAACATAGAAAATGGTGAAGTGCCGAAATACATCATTATTGTAAAAACCAAAAGAGACGTGTTAGCATTTACATACCTGTGATAAAGATTGTTTTATATTTAACAGAACATTTTTATATCATTGCATAAATAATTTTAACAATATATACAGAAAAATATCTATTTTCTCTTTGTTAAAATTATGAATGTATCATTTTTATATACTTTTTAATTAAAAAAAATTATAAATGTAAAATTTGGACTTTTAAATAATAATACCAATCTGAAACTAGTTAAATAATAATTTCAAGTTGTATATCATCGCCTTCTCTCTTGACATGAAAGTAAAGTCTAACTCTTGACATTCTAATATTAATCATTTTATGCACAAATCCTAGTTAAATAACTTACTCTATACTAAGTATTCTTAGTATTATGCTTGCACAATTTCTATAAACTATTTTTAAGATCTTAAAATTATAATATCGTATCCAACCCGTATCCTTATCCAATAATTTTAATAATTGACATGTCTAGTATTGTGTCGTGTCCATGTTACTATGTATGTTTGTGCATCATAGAATTGACCTAAACTGACTTAAAAATTTTTAAAAAAATTATGAGCTTTAAATTGGAAGTTGGAAATTACTTCGTAGAAGTTCTGCGGTCCACCAATCTTTAAGGCATAAGAGGGTGAAGGAAAAGAGTTTGCAGTATACGAAAGGAAAAAGGACATGTCCACCAATACTATTTTCAGAAGAATCATGCAAGAATCTGGAATTCATAGATACGGTTGCAAACAAAGCTGTAGAAAAAATCAATGTGCATACCATGAATAGGGCATGGATTTTGAGCTTTAGCACAGCAACTCTTACATGACTGGAATGGGCATCTGCAAGACCAAAAAAAGTATCAAATACATGCGCTTCAACTTCATATGTTTAGTTTCACTCTCATAAATTCTGAAAGATCATGAGATCTAAATTTCATTCCTCAAAGGTCAATTGACAACTTCCTAATCCAAACACGAGTCAGTTTCCACTTTCCAGATTCCTATTTTATCAATATTAGCATGAAAGAGTAAAGAAGTGCACTTGGTTTTGCTGGGGATCAATCTACGCCATTCATTAGGTTATTTTGAATAGTTGGATTACTTATCTATATATTTGGTTCCGCTAAAACCAACTAAATCATTCTTAAGCTTTTTTTTAACCGGCATGGCATCCTTTCTCTCATTTGACTGGAATCTTATTACTTTATTAACATTTTTAAATATACGGTTAGATATGATTGAGACTATGATGCACCGATATGCCATGCGTCTGACACTCCTTTGACACATTTCAGACACGCCGAAAGTGTCTGGTTAAAAAAAAATATTGAATACAAATTGGACCCGTGTCGGACACGGGTCTTAAATATTTTATAAAATTTTTTAAATATAATTTCTCGTATTTAAATTTTTTAATTATTTAAAATATAAAAACTAAACTTTTTATTTCCTATCCACAGCACCAAATCAAATGCCTGCACTCAATCCCCATTCATCGAATATTCTCATTTTCATTTCTCTTTGGCAAGTCGTGATATTGATTTCACAACAATGCCCAATATTATCTCAACAGTGACGTCTGACATCATTACAACATCGAAATTTCAAAACCATCTAAAAATTAAAGTTTGACATTGTTTTGGCATTGATGCCGACGCTAACAATTTTTAAACCCACAACTTGACATGACAACTCATCTTTATCTGACGTCTTCTTAATATCGACGACCAATGCCCTCTCAACATCGATGACAGATGCCCCAATACTTACTGCATAACATCGATTCCAAACTCTTGATAGCACTGCCATCTCCTTTCTTGATGTCTGATACACAGTATCAACGCTCGACTATCGACATCTTAATATTAATAATTTTAAACACAAATTCTAATTAGATGATTTATTATTTCTAACATATTTTTAATATTATGCTTATTCAATTTTATACACTATTTTTAAAATATAAAATTATTATACCGTATCCAACCCGTGTCCGTGTCCTATATTTTCAATAATTGACATGTCCCACGTCCGTGTCATGTTGTATCCATGTTGTGTTGTATTCGTGTCGCCATGTCCGTGTCTGTGCATCATAGGATTGAGATATGTGAAAAATGTAGATTGTCAATTATGAGAAAATTAATTACCATATTTTGTTCTTGAAAATTTCACATAACTCATTTCATTATTTTGCTCATTTATTGCCAAACATTGAATTATATCAATCAGAACCATGCTGATATTTAAAATGTCATTCAACCTCATATAATGATAATTTTTTTAATTAAGAATTTAGCAAGTAATAAACTTTAATTACTACAATGAATAAACATATTGTATATTACTTATTTTGTTATCTATATGTGTTTAACTTCAAATATAATTTTCACCCAAAAAATATATACGATTGATTTTGAATTTCAGCATGAAATGCCAGTGCATTTGAGCGGTGAATTTTACATCAAATAATATAAATTATGTTTCAAAATAATAATAATAATATATATTAATTAATAATACAGGACGTCTTAGGGTTTAATTTTTTAATGCAGCTAAATAATGTGATGAAGGCAAATTCAGGCATTAAAGCTTCAAATTCACAATTAATAGACTAATAATTAAACAATTACAAGCTTCCATTTGATAAAATCAAGAAAATATGCAAATCCTTCAAATGATAATTAATGATTGCTGAGTTTAGAAATTCTAACTGAAATTTTGAAACCCCAAAATAACAATTCGAACAGGATTCACAGCGTAATTAAAAAATCCAATTTGTAACTAGCTTGACCACAATCAATCATGATGGTTAAACCAAACAAAAATTAAGTAGAAGAAAGTGTAACAATGTAAGAAACCCCCAAAAGAAGGATTTATACCTCACACCAGTACACAAGATTTTCCTAACAATTGACAGTCATCTTTTGTACCACTTGAACATATTTATAAACATCTAATTCGCCCAAGAAAATCGTTGCCGAAACAATAGGGTAGACCGCAAAAGATATGAACGATATCAAAAATCACATACACCGAAGCAAATCCCTCCATCCTCAACAGTAATAAAAGCTGCGCAAGTTCATCATTTCAAATGCAAATCACAGGGGTAAGCTTAAGAACCCAATCCTTAATCATCATAAACCAAAACTTATTGAACCAACCAACAAACTAACCTAAAAAAAAAAAAAAAAAAAAGTTTGGACCAATGGTGGAACGACAAATAATCCAAACCAAAGCAAGGGAATCATAACATTAAAGAGAACATATTGTTCTCATAGGTAAAACCATCATCGACACGTGTGAACAAATGAACTAAAACAAAAACTACTAAATAAAATTGCATATAAAGAAGTAAAATGAAAATGGTACTCAGTTTGATAATTTGTTCATTTCAATGAACAATATTTGCATTTCCGACAAATGTTGACTTTGCTATCTCCGTCAACTATACTTACTCCACAGATATGCAAAAACTAATAGGTTAACTCAGGTTCCCTAAAAGGCCAACTGCTGCATTTACAAACATGGATTATATTGCTCGTGACTATTATTAAAACAAATTGCATCAGTACACACAAATTATGATGTACATTGCAGTTTATCAATAAAACATAACAAAAAGTACACTGCAAGAAAATCATATTTTCACTTGAAAAAACTCTGTTCATGAAAAGAAAACTGTTATGTTAGGTAAAAGACACTTTAAAAGAATTTTCTTTTCTAGACTTAATTTAATACTACTTCCATGAAGAAGAGTTGGATCAAGGATGCAAAAATGGGTGTTGATCTCATTACTCATTATGATTGTCAAAGGTTTGTATCACATGCAACATCTTTGATAGTGTAGGTTAAAGCTTATCCATCAACCTCTCTCCCAATTGATGTAGGAAATTTTATGGTCTACAATTTTCTAATGTAGCTATATGACGTAAGGCACAAAATCACACATATAAAACTCAAAATTGTCGTTCACAGACTATCAATTAAACAAGTATTCATCTCTCTTGATAAAAATTAGAGAAAACATTTACATAAATGCTAATTTATGATCAAATTAATAGAAATTTTGCATAAAAATTTAAAAACATGAAAATCAAATGTTGATAAAAATCACACTGCAAGAAAAAGAGATTAGTAATCAAGTTCTCACATAAATATAAAGAGATAGCTTCTCATGAAGGTTAGTAATCACCAATAGCATAAGCTAGAAAGAATTGCATCCAAAAGTACGAAGGGAAAACACAAAACCCAAAAGAAAATCTTATATGTCTTAGTTTTCCCTTATTTATAAGACATAATCTCATAGCAAATAAAATATCATATAAAGCGGCAGTCTCAGCCCAGTTGAACACAAAACCCAAAAGGCACGCAACCCAGTCGAACAAAGGTCGTGGCAAAGAGGAGGTGAAAAAATCGTGGCCATGTAGAAATCAAAATCAAAAGGTCCGCTAGCATATCACAAAATGTGATGGCAAACGTGAGTGTGGGGAGGATAACTGATGGGGACATCAGAGCTTGGAAAGTTTATCAGAGGCGTGGCCATCGATCTACGGCCACGATTATGCCGATGTATTTTTAAGTTGTCATATGTATTTGTCTTTTATTTATTTATGATTGTATTTGCTTTAGTTGTTTTCCCCTTTTACCCCTTACTTAAGGGTCGTCATGTGTAAGCCCAAAGGGCAACGTCGTCTTTTATTTTGAGTCCATTTATCTTCTTGATCTACTAATCTTGTAGGTGGTGATTTAATTGGAAGGATTCGTGCTTCGCTCTATGCCTTCGCTTAGTAATCGTAGGATTTGAGCTTACTTTCTATGTTTCTAATATCAATGTTAATTTAGGGATTTTATTGAATGGCTACTTAATTTGCATCTTGTTGAATTTCTAAATTACTTTGGTTATTCAATTGCTTAGCTTGTGATTTGGCCTACGCGTAGCTAACCATCCTTCATTTTCTATCGTCATTTAGTGGCTCACAATTTTAATTACTATTTGCTCTTACTTAAATCGTGCAAGTACTTACTGCATCCATCTAAAGCATACTTAGTCTGCATCAACAATCCATGCTAGGTCGCATAGGATATGTTCAACATCAATCTATCCATCTTGAAAAATTTGGCTCCATCAAATTATTCAATTAAATTTTGCCAAATAGAGAGCATAATACAATAAATAAAAAAAAAACTACTTAAATAAAATCATGTGAATGTTCATAATGTCAATTTGCACATCCCAAATCACACATTCTACATTATCCAGTATAAACTTTGTGATTTGCATCAAATTTACTTGCATCTAAAAATTATGCTTCAATGGCTTCAACATTTGATATTCATCAAGTATGTGAATTGTCTAATAAAGTGTTGGATGCAAATTCTTGAAGATATAGAAAAAGAGAATATTCCAGGACATCAATTGTTAGTTCATGATAAAAAGTCAAATCAGACATATTAAAGACTAAACTAATACCAAAACTTTCTGGAATTTCCATGTTATAAGCATTTATTGCAATGTGCTACATGATTTTATATGGCCTAGCATTTCTAAAAACTAATTTCTTGTAGACTTACGCAAGAAAGATTTAGATGAATCACTATTGTATCACCTAATTTGAATTACACGTCTCTTATCACATTAGCAATAAACTTATAATTATCCAACTCCCTTTCTTTTTAAAATTCCCCTTTGTCGTTGATACCTGCCCTCTCACTAATAGATTTAATTATAGATGGTAGGATACATAATTTAGGAAACTAAATAATAGCATAGGGAAATTATATAAAATCTTACAAATATCTCAAAATAATTACATAATTTCCTTCTCATAAAAAACAAATCAAATCTTCAATAAAAGAATTGTAGAAATAAAGAATATCACCTGATAGATTTACAGAGTCAAAGATGGTAGTAAATGTACTTCCATATATTTAACAAGAAAAATAAGGGAATGTGAAGCCATGCCAAGTTCAGGTATGCATATGTAATTTATCTTTATGTCATATAAAATTTAAAAACCGTTTAATGTAGCTATAATGACTCTATATTAAGTTACAATGTATAAAATATCAAGATCCCAGCTAGAACAACGACAATTAGTTACAAATTTTGTGTAAAAACAAGCATATTATAACCAAAATGCATAAAAATTTGCATTTTGCAAAACACTGAAAACCACAAGGCACTATGGTACAATAGACATTCAGGTTAATATCATTTCTATTTGATTATAATTGCTGCAGATCTTCTTGCCAGGTAACTTACAATGACCTGCTCAATATATGCATTTTGGAAACAGAAAGCGCTAACAGGATTGCAAAAATAAATAACAAATAAAGGACATGCATACCTTGAACGAGCAACATTGCCACATTTGGAGCATTTAGGCTTGTTAAGCCCTCTAAGGTTCTGCTTAGGGGTGTCAAATGTTACGGATTTAAGATTTCCATTTATAGTTGTATTTGCCATCAAAGATTCACCAACCTTGGCAGAAGGGGATGGGGATGAAGCTGCCATGAAAAGTCCAAAAACTAACTGCAAAGTAAAAGTTAAAATACATTAGAAGGTAAAACCCATCTACTTTGAAAAAAGATATGCATATCCATATATGTCAATCTAAGTAACTCGTGGGTACCAAGCAGATGCACCTCTGAGAACTCGGTCAATAAGCATACTCACCCAGAATGAGCCTTGCATGAGATACATTTGTCAGAGCTAGGTCATGAAAAAGTAGGTATTCACCCCAATGAAGCTCGCATTATAAGAGCTATCCCTGAGGAGCTCAATCAATGATGAACATATTTCGGGTGAGTTCAAAAAAAGAACTCGCCTCAACAAGTCTTCACCTGAAGAAAGAGTAGCCTTGTGAGGACTCGGCTCTCCATCCATCTTTCACGGATAGCCTATCCAACCTGTAAGAGGCATACACCGCTAGATCCCACAATCATGACTCCATCAACTACGTTCGTTCTAGGATCATAATCACTCTCATGGCAAATTTGTCTAGAGGACTAGTCACTAGCCCTAAGGAACTCCCCACTTATCCAAGAAATTCGCCTTCGCGGACTCGCCCAATACGACCCCTAAGGACTCACCACCCTCATAGGGTACTCACCGGAGACATCTCGAGCAAAAGTGTGTACATTTCAACCTAGTCCACATGTTTGTACCAGTCAGTATATGTCAAATCATGTATTATTTCTTTATTTTTTGAAGACATATTTTAGACTTCATGCTATTTTTAGTATTCACAGATATTAATAAACTTCTATCCATTCTACATACGTTTGTCTGTTCACCCATCTGTTCTCTTGCTCCAACCTAGCCAGGCTGGCTAGTAGGATCAGGTGTTGCCCACAGACAAATTTAGATCCAACATCCTCAAACATGTAGTAAGTGTGAATTGATGACAATGACCAGAAGATAAATATTGCGTGAAGAGCAACAAAATTAGGAGTCATCTGTGAATGTGGAGAAGCAAAACTTCATAACCCACCAAAATTTAATGGAGATGGATAAGAGACTCCCAAAAAATGATTCGAGAGGTGTTGGGGCAAGCTTAAAGGGATGCCTCAAGAGTGAGTACTACCAAGGGATCCTCTAACTCGACAGATAATAGAAGATGATCGGATGCCAAAGCGTTGAGTTTAACAACAATTCTTACTAGAGTTATGGTAACACTAGTGATGAAGATTATACTCCTCTACCATGCAAGTGAGGAGAGAGTTGGAGTTGACCAATGCATTTCCTAGGCAAATTACAAAGGCAAAGCCACCCGCCAAGCTTAAAATATCCCATCTAGAGTCATAGTGAGGAAGATATAACCCTAACAATCACATTGCATACTTTGAGTCAGCAACCTCCCTGATGGACATCAATGATGCTCTAAAATGCTGACTATATTTTACCGTCTTCAAAGAGTCCATCCTTTGTTGGTTTTACCACCTACCGTTATGTATCATTACATCCTTCTCCAAGTTTAAAAGCTTGCAGGCTTCTTGAAGATGAAGCAAGAATCACATGAGTCGTTAAGTAGCTTCACCGTTATATTCCAGAGAGAGATACTAGAAGTCAAAGACCTAGAACTGATAGCCACACATGCCACTCTAACTGAAGGCATGTGGGAAGAGTCATTTAGGGTGGAACTCGCAAAAATCCATTGAATGCCAAGGAATGCAACAATGTGGTCGAGTCTTCCTTGGCCACTCGCCCCAGAGAGCTGCTCATAAGATGAGATTACCTTTTGCACCGCAAGCATGATAGGAACTGCCTAAGGGCCCATAGAGTCTAGAAAAGGTAGAAAATGTGATAGTACCTACATAATCACGATGAATAGAAGATGCCCCTACTAAAGAGACCACTGTGGATTGTGGGTCTGCCTAGCCATGCATGGAAGAAGCATCACACGCAAATCACTTATATAGAGACGAGGGGGCACACCCTACTCATTAATACCCAAATATTACTCCCATGGCATATCCATGACCGAGTTGGTAGAGGCCATTCAAAATAAAAAGTTCTTTAAGGGCTGATGAAAACTAGCCCTCATACTAGGAACACTTCCAAATTTTGTGTGTTCCACAAGGAACACGGGCACGAACCACATGGACAAGACTGGTAAAAAAGAAAGGCATTTGTAGAGGACTAAGGGAATGCGTTAATTCCTACTTATGCTATCACATTGTAAGGGTTGAGATAACCCTTAATTTTTAAAGAATTTTTTTTATACCTACAATAGTAAAAAATTATTTTATGAGTCATAAGTTCAAATCACAAACCATTTTGCCATAACATAAATATTATCGAGTTTTAGTTTCACTAATTTTTCCATGAATTTTGGATACGGGTACAATTCCTTTAAAAATTAGCACTTATTCGTACATAAAAATTAGCACTTATTCGTACATAAGGAGTTTTTGAGACTACTAGGTGTCTGTTTTGTAAACTGATTTCACCAAAGTATTTTGGTCATGTTTAGTTAATTTATGAATATTTTTGTATAATTTTTGGATTCTTGGATTTGATTATATAAAGGATTTATATGAATTTTATGCTAAAAAATTAAATAATTAGAATAATTATTTAATATTTTATTATAAAACAATATCTAAACCCATTACATGCTTATTAAATGTTTATTTTCCTAATTCCTTAAGCAATCTCTGTTAACAGAGCTTGGAGGAGAATTAAGGGAGAAAAGAGAGGAGAGAGAAAAAAACCTGAGTTTGGAGGTCTTAGAACCATTTTTTCTGTTGGCTTAGTTGGAAATTTGGTTGGTCTCGAGGTTGGTCACATTATGCATATCTCAATTTTCAGAAATATGCAAATTTTATCTAATTTTTTTATTAAGTTTTTGTTTCTTTTTTAAAAAAAGAGAATAACTTTGCATTGGTAAAACTTTTACCGCGTAACTTTTATATGTTATAAAATTAAGATTATGAATATTTTCTGAAAATTTTACAACGGAGTATTGAAGAATAGTGATGTAATACGATACAAGTCTTAAAACATTATTTTACACAATCCATAGTAATTTGGTGATTTATTTAAAATATGCATTTTTCGCTTAGTAGGATTTTTGTTGCTTACCATTATAAAAAGCTGTGCAATTCTGACACATGCTCAATTAAGTTTTAACTGTTACAATATAAAGAAAAATTTGCATATGTGATTAAATTATATTTGTTGAGAGCTATAAGGGATCAGAATCCTTTGAGATTTTATCTGTGTCAAGAAATATTCTGATGTTTATAAGGTATATTCTAGTGGCTACAAGTCATATTCTGGTGCTGTAAGCACAAAAGTGAGTCATAAGGAACCATAATATTTTGAGATTCTATTTAGGTCTAGGAAATGTGATATAACCTGCTATATAATATGAACTTCAATTTATTTAGTTGCTTAGTATTGTTATTTAAATAATTGCATAACTTCTCTTATTATATTTCTTAGTACAGTTATTTATTAGACAACATTTAACTGCTTTTAAATTTTTAGCAAAATGTTTAATAAAACAATTTAGAAATTTAGATCGATTTTAAGAGCTGAGAAAAGGAAAAGGCCAATTGATTAGCAATTTCAGGATTTGATCCGAGTTTATAAGTATTTCTTTACTTTAATTTTTATACAATCATGACTAATTTATTATTCAATTTTGTAGCTTCCGTTTAGTAGCCATATACTATAGTGTATATACATTTGATGAAATAAAAAAAATTTAGTGTATGAGTTTATTTATAGTACTTTAAATATTTTGGTAGCCCTGTAATTTATAATTTATTTAAAATAAATATTGGAAAAAAATTTGAAACATTTCAAAACTAGATATTGGGATTTAGGCTTCGTTTGGGACGGCTTTTTCATTGCTTCTTAAAGTAGCTTTTTAGTACAAAATTTTTTAATTTTTATACTAAAAAATTATTTTAACAACAACATCATCATCATCATCATCAAGCCTTTACCCCACTATGTGGGGACCGCTAAATGTATTATTTTTCTTCATTGTGTCCTGTTAAGAGTCAAATTCTCATTTAAATCTAATAAAGAAAAGTTATTTCTAATATTTTCTAACCAAGTCTTTTTAGGTCTACCTCTACCTTTCTTAACATAGGCCGACGTTTTACATGCCAAACCATCTAAGGCGACTCTCTCTAATCTTATCTGTCACCGAAACTACTCCAACCTTTTCTCGGATATGCTCGTTTCATATCCTGTCTCTAAGAGTAAATTCCCTAATCCACCTGAGCATCCTCATCTCAAGAACACTTAACTTAATATTATGCTTATCTTTTAATGGCCAACATTCTGCATCATAAACATTGCAGGTCTCACCACCATCTTATAAAATTTTCCATTAAGATTGAGTTGTACTTTTCTATCACACAACAAACCCGAAGCATTCCTCCGCTTCAACTCTCCAACTTGAATTATACTAATAATATCCTCATCTATTTCACTATCACTCTGAACAATAGAACCATGTAAAAAAGTTATCCCAAACGAAGCCTTATTTATCACAGTTTAACACGATAGAACTTTGTCCTGGTCGAGTTAAGTTGTGACAAGGGTAATGTCTGCTATACTAAGGGGCTGTTTGGTTGCCTGCATTAGGAGTGTAAAGTAAAACAATTGCATGTATTTATTAATTTTGGTTGTTTGGTTAATTTTGAGCGGAACAAAAGGAAACCTACTGAAGTATTAGTAGTGTATTAAGGGGCTTGTTTCGCGTGAATTAGAAACCCGCTCAATATGAGCGGGTTATAAATTCGCCGGATGAGAAATTCGAAGCATTATCCAGCGCCACCGCTTCCTCTGCTGTTCCTTCTCTCCGGGCAGCAATGTGCCGCATGCGGCGGGAGTCGGTGGAGCGTGAGCTCGAGGGCTGCCAAATGGTCGCCGAACTCTGGTGTCACAGCCTTACGGTCCGCCAGATCGAGTGCCTTCGTGGAGCGCTGCCGAAATCGGCAAAGCTCGTCGTAGCCAAAAATACCATGCTTGGAAAATCGACCGAGGACACGTCCTGGGAATCAATCTGTTCCTGCGCACGCGACATGAACGCATGGCTTTTCGTCCGCTCCGACAATGAAGTCGCCTCCGCCCTCATGGCCTGCCGCGACTTCCAGCGCCAATGGAAGCTCGATCTCAACGATTTCACCGGCTGACATGCGTCAATTTTTTACATACGCCCTCAAGGCCTACCGCGACTTCCAGCGCCAATGGAAGCTCGATCTCAAGATGCGGATCCAAACAAATATTTCCCTAAGAAACGACTGTCATCGAAACTACTCCAACCTTTTCTCGGATATGCTCGTTTCATATCATGTCTCTAAGAGTAAATCCACTAATCCACCTGAGCATCCTCATCTCAAGAACACTTAACTTAATATTATGCTTATCTTTTAATGACCAACATTCTGCATCATAAAACATTGCAGGTCTCACCACCATCTTATAAAATTTTCCATTAAGATTGAGTTGTACTTTTCTATCACACAACAAACCCGAAGCATTCATCCGCTTCAACTATCCAACTTGAATTCTACTAATAATATCCTCATCTATTTCACTATCACTTTGAACAATAGAACAATGTAAAAAAGTCATCCCAAACGAAGCCTTATTTATCACAGTTTAACAAGATAGAACTTTGTCCTGGTAGAGTTAAGTTGTGACAAGGGTAATGCCTGGTATACTTGGAGATGGAGCAGAGGTGTCTCAATGACAAGTCTAGAGCAATCCTGTTTGGGAGAAATTAACTCGACAATTATGCCCTACAGCACTCGAGGTCACTCTGATTACCTTTAATGAACCAGGCAAGCTAATGAGTGGCAACCCTTTCAATGATGCCATGTTAGTCACCACACTGATCCCTATCATCATCCTTATTGATATAAGGAGCTCCATTTATGACATCCCAAGACCTAATTTAAAATAATTGTATTTTTTGTCGTCTAATTACATACTAGAGCCACTAATATTATCCACATACACAATTTCGTATAGCGAAAGCAACATTTCATTTCATACAACAAATATATACACACACACGTACACACAAACACACATTTATATCATATCCCCAAAAGAATCATTTACAATAGCATGAATACCATCTCTCGCATCAGTTTATGCCTTACACATTCAACACTACAAAAATGAAAAATGAAATACTTATCACAATAATTCCCGATCAATCTCATTACACTGGGTCTTTACCCTTGAAATTATTTAAATCACATAATGAGCGCCAAGTAGATTACCAGAACCCACTGTTGCATTCAAAGCATTAAACATGACTAATATGCATGTAATCATTCAAATCGAATCAATATAAATATGTAACAGTCAATATAAACAATATCAATCAATTTGAATACTAGCATATTAATATTAACAGTAGTGATCAATAACAAGAAATGATTGTATTGGAATAATGATCTCTATATAACATCTCTAGCATATGTATGCCTGATTAGTATCAATAATCCCCGTCATTCCTATAACATTGCATCAGGTGAAATGTTATTGGAAAAAACTATCATAGGAATCAGTGCAAGCATATAAATTATCAGTTTATGTATATGTGAATATCAATATTAATGCTTCATATTAATATTCTATTAGTTATTCATATGGATTAATAAATGTCATCTCTATGCCAGGTCATGTATATCAGTGTACCTATCATATAGTATCATATATTAGCATGTATGACACTATGCATGCGACATCATATCAGTATCATGGATCATATATATCATTTATTAGTATCATGTATCATGTACATATATCAATATCATATATTATGTATATGTATCTGTCGTATCACATATTCAAGTCATTTATCATATCATGTCATATAACTCATGACATGTCCTATATCATGCCATGTCTAATCATATGGAATCATGTTATATACACACATCATTTCATATGTATGCAAGTCAGAACTTCTAGCTCATGTGGTGTTTTCCTATATCAATCATATCATATCTTGTAGGCCAAACTTATAAGAATCAGTCATATCAATTATTAGTCTTATCAATCATAATTCAGTAAGTCAGATAACTTCACATAGGAGTCGCCACTCCCCATTAGTTATATCATATCTATCAATCTCCTTATGTATCCATTTTTATATCTTTTAGGATTACACCACAAATCTTTATTTAAATGATAGCACATCGACCCACCCTTCTTTACAAGGAAACATGTCTACGGCAAAACTAAATGAGTCATATTTCTACCGGCCTTTCTTGCAGATATTCACATATATCATATCACATAGTTTTCATTTATAATCGCATGCAAATCGTATTAATATTATGAATTATAACATGTATATTCAATATGCCTATCAATGTGCAAGTTCTAATAGTGTACTTATGTAAGAATGCATGTCTGACCAGATGAACTAAACTACCATGCATGTCATGTATTTCATGTCTAGACCATATACATTGGATTTTACCTATTTTATAGGTACCTTTATCATGGTCATTTAGTTAAAATGTCATAATGCAATACTATTGGTGAAATTTCAATATGACTATATCAAAATGTTCAAAATAAAGATATCTACGACATATCAAAAATTACATGGTAAAAGCTTATTAGATCAAAAAAATAATGCATTTTATTAGACTCAGGAGAGAGAGAAAACTAGAAATAAAAAACATAAAAAATAAAAGTAGGGATAATATTACTTACCACAATAAAAGCAAATTTGTTAACTGGAGTGGCGGACAAAAATGACACAATATCGACTATATATATATATTCTCTCCCTTCGCTCCTCTTCCCTGGCCAAAGTAAGCAAATGGGGTGGCAAGCTATGTTGCACGGATACTCCTATTTACGAGCCATGTTGTATCGGACACATGTTGGATACGGATACGCCTCTGATACGGCATGGATACGTGTCGGATACGGCTTTGCCGTATCCAATTGAAATAATATTTAAATTTGATCGGACACACATATCGGATATGCGTGTCCTATGAAAAAAACAAAAAAAAGATACCGGAACTCGGTACCTCTCAGTACTCAGTACTGCTCGGTACCGCTCGGTATCGAAACTAGGTACTCGGTACAGCTTGGTACCGCTCAGTAATGCTCGGTACCGAAACTCGGTACCATGTTCAGTATCAATGCTCGGTACTGCTCGGTACCGAGGGGTACTGAATGGTACAAAGCGACACCGAGAAGCTAGAGAAAGCTTTAAAACAAATCTTACAATAAAAATTTGTTCCGGGGGCAGCGCCCCCAGAAACCCTCGCAGGGGCGTTGCCCCTTGACCCCACGACCAGACCAGGCAGGTCGAACCCCGCCAGGGGGAAGAGCCCCCTTGGACCGCTGACATACCTGCGACATATCTACACTTTTACTTAAAAAATTTTATGTTTTAAATTCATGTGGTTTAATTTGTGTCGATCATTCTTAGGATAATGAGCTCTAGTGGCGTAGGAATTAGGTTTGATGATGGGCTATCAGAGACCCATTCAATTTTTTATCATTTCAAATATTACGCTTTGATTACTTTCTGAATTTTTATGTATAATTTATATATTATAATGTCGTATCCGCACTGTATCTATATCCTGTACTTTTAAGAATTGACGTGTCTTGTATCCGTATCGTGTTGTATCCATGTCGCCGTATCCGTATCGGTGCAACATAGGTGGTAAGTGATGGCTTAGGTATTTATTAAAATGAGTAGAAAAATATATTAAAAATTAAATTTTCTTACCTAATGTTGCAACGCTCTTGACCACAGTGTTGTAGCGCTGACATCAAACATTGTAGACCAGAGGAATCAGCACCGTTGTGCCAAGCCCAGCATCGTCGCGCTCGATCAGCCAGAACCTTCCATACAAAGAGGTCAGCGCCGCTGTGCTCGCCAACACAACACCTTATCGCTCTCAGCCAGATTTCTATGCATGGAAGATTTTCAAATCAATTTCAAGCTATATCATTATTAGTTCATTAATAAATTAAAATTTAGGTCATTATACCATCAATAGTTTTTTAAAATGTTTTGATAATATAAACCTGTTTGCTTCCCAACTTACCCCTACTACAGGTCTAATCTATGGTTTCTCAGGAGAGCGACAAGATACTGAGGTGATGATTGCCCTACCTCTAGCCTAAAGTAAGGTCGAATGTCAATGCACAAAAATGGACGACTTCATTATGGTGCATGTGCCAACCATCTACAATGCAATCTTGGGTGGCCATTGTTCAAATATTTCCAAGGCATTCATCTTGACATATCATGAGGCGATCAAAATCCTAATTGTAGGTTAGAAGATCATAAGGATAGGCGAACTGATCCTATCATGAGCTTCGTACCTAAAGTTTGTAGGGGAAAGATAATGAGTCTGTCGGAGGAGGTGGTGTATAAAGCTGTGGAGGGAGGTGGTGTATAAAGCGGTGGAAGAGGTCCTAGTGGTAAAAATTCCTCATAGAAAACCCTCAGAATAAGTTCATCTTTCAGCGCATAGCACCAAGACAAATTCATCTAAGCTCTCAAGGATGACATCCACATTTTCTCTTGGACTGCGACCAAAATGCTAGTGGGACATATTGTAGTAAACCAACATAAGTCAAACATCAAGGAATTTGGGTTCTTTAAACAAAAAATAATGTTGATTGCAGCCATCCTGGTCGATTCCATGAAAAAAGAAGTCCCAAAACTCCTAGACTCCAAATTCTGGGAGGTACAATATCCAAACTGGATCTCAAACATAATGATGGTATAGATGGCAAATGAAAAGTGAAGGACGTGTGTTGATTTCACTAACCTGAACTAGCATGCCGTAATTATCCCCTCCCAACAACTGACTCGCTGGTTGACTTGGTGGTCGCTTGCCATTCATGAGCTTCCTTGAAGCCTTCTTTGGCTACCCATAAAATAAAGATTCACCTCGACAATTACGAGAACACGCCATTCATCATGGGGAAGGTATGTACTTATACAAAGTGATGATTTCAACTTGAAGAATGCAAGGGGGGTCTACCAATAAATGATGGATCTAGTCTTCAAAGACTTTAAAGAAAAGAATGTCCAGGTGTATGTGGAAAGCTTATTGATGAAGAGCATGTCGTCTGAGCAGTGCATTCAACATATGAAAAATACAACCTATGTATATATTACTTGTGTTTGTGCATCCGATCAACACCATCAAGTTTAATAGGATTTATCAAAACAAAATTTACCATAATCCTACTTTGATTCAAATAGCTCCAGCAAGCACGCAGATTCGAGAAGTGAGAGCTAGGTTAAACGGGACTGCTGGGAAAAAGAAGAAAATGGCCACAATTAAATGACCTAAAAACATGCAAGCTGCAATTAAGGAGAGATGGCGCAATATGTAGCTAAAAACCACGCTCCACCCAGCGTGGCGGTAATTGTGACCTAGCAGCACGCAAGCTGCAATTTTTCCCAGAAGCCAGAGGTTTGAACGGGGGAGAGATAAGTATACATGCCTCCCTATATACAACATCTTGAAAGGAAGGAGAAGACTAATAAGTGTAAAAGGACCATACCTGGGTTTGTCTTTGGGAGCCCTATCACCGCTGTCGTTCCTAAGAAGCAGGGTATCACACAATGCTTCGATTTGATGTACTGCGAGGTAGAGGAGATGATAACGTGCGGGTGATACAAGGAAAAAGAGGTAGTAGAAGTGGCTGTTTGGATGCAGGATTTGAGCAGGATTTAGGGGCTGTTTGGCAGGATTTATGCTAAATTCTCCAAACGGGATTTGAGCGCCGTAAATCTAACAGCGGAATAAATCCTCGGTTTCCCTCTTTTTGCCCTAAATCCTGTAGTTCGGCAGATTTATGCAAAAATAATATATAATCAAATATATAAAAAAATAAATGAATAAAAAATAAAAATTAAATATTATCAATTAAATAAATAAATATTATTTATATTATAAAACTTAATTAAAAAAATCATTAAAAAAAGATGTTTTGCTTTATAAGTATATACATGAAATCAAGGAGGACTTTTTGTTTTGTATGGTTTAGTCCCACATCACTTGTGATGTTTGCTTTGTATAGTTTATATATCTTTTTTTTTTTGCAGATAATAGGAGCTCGTATGGAGCCATGTGAAAATGTTGTAATTAACTATATAATCCTACTCTTTAATATTTATTTAAAAGTTTAAATATATAATATTTATATTAATTGATTAAGTTTATAATTTATTTAATATTAAATAATTTATTTAATTAATTAACAAAATATTTGGACCAGCCGACTTTAGAAAATCGGGACCGGTTCCTAGTTGAACCGGCGGTTCAAATCGATTCTGGCCGGTTTGATGCACACCCGATCTTTAAGGGTGAATCGGATCGGCCATCAGACCGGTTCACGGTTGAACCGATCGGATCGGCCAGACCAGCCGGTCTGGTTTTCAAAACGTGGCAAAATATCGTAACTTCTATTCTGACAAGAAGGGAACGTCGTCGAAGGAGCCGAAGAAGTGATTCGTGCAATCTCTACACTTGCGAAGCAACGAAGCAGAACATCAACAACTAAAAAGAGAAGATGAAAAGCCCCAGACGTCTCTAAGCTATTATTGATTCACTTAATTAATATAATTTAAAATAATAATAATTAAGTAAATAATTAGTAGCATAATTAATGAAATTAATAACATTTAGTAGTATTGAATCAATGTTTAAGATTAATCCTTGGTGTAACATAAAAGGAAATGCAGTAAAATATAAGTACAAAATATAAGCATACAATGTTCTTAGATATAGGAGAGCCTAAGTTAGGTGCTCGTACATTCTATATATGTAATAGATGACTAAATAATAAATAAACATGCTTAATGATGTGATTAGTAAATGATTGAAGCTTAATCATCCACAAATCCTTCCCCCATGAATGTTATTCACATGTATATTCGATGTTTAAAATTCTACAAGTAGATCTATCAAAATTAAATGATTTAACAATATATATATATATATATAATTCAATGTTCATATTCATGAGAGATCCGA